AGTGTCAGTATCGGTGTGAGTGTGAGTGTGAGTGTGAGTGTGAGTGTGAGTGTCAGTATCGGTGTGAGTGTGAGTGTGAGTGTGAGTGTGAGTGTGAGTGTCAGTATCGGTGTGAGTGTGAGTGTGAGTGTGAGTGTGAGTGTCAGTATCAGTGTGAGTGTCAGTATCAGTGTGAGTGTCAGTGTCAGTGTGAGAGTCAGTATCAGTGTGAGTGTAAGTGTAAGTGTGAGTGTGAGTGTCAGTATCAGTGTCAGTATCAGTGTGGGTGTGAGTGTAAGATTGAGTGTGAGTGTTAAGTGTGAGTGTAAGTGTGAGTGTGAGTGTAAGTGTGATTGTGAACGTGAGTGTAAGTGTGAGTGTGAGTGTCAGTACCAGTATCAGTGTGAGTGTGAGTTTAAGTGTGAGTGTGAGTGTCAGTATCAGTATCAGTGTGAGTGTGAGTGTCAGTATCAGTATCAGTGTGAGTGTGAGTGTCAGTGACAGTGTCAGTGTCCCTGCTAATGACAATGTCTGTGAGCCTGCATGGATAATCACAGGTACGAGAGTAACAGCGATGACAATCTTACATTTAGTTATGAACAGTGAAAAATCCAGATAACAAGACATAAACCAGTGATTTTATTTTGTGAAAGATTCATTTATGCTACAAAAATATCCTTTATTATCTGGATGCTGCAAAAAGTACAAACATAAAGATGGCACTAATACGTACATTGAATGTAATTTAAAAATCAGAAAACCGAAGATCGGTCAGCAGAGAAAGTTTCCTGGGTAATTCAGAAGTCATAATAATAATAATACTCAGGATCTCAATATCAATAATAATGACAGCAATAACAATAACAATAAGAACAGTTTAGAAGAAGCAGTAAGCGTCGTGATTGCAAGTCTACCGGGCGAACACAGATAAGCGTTGGTTTAGCCAGTCTGCCGGGCGAACACAGATGTAAGCGTTGGTTTAACCAGTCTGGCGGGCGAACACAGATGTAAGCGTTGGTTTAGCCAGTCTGCCGGGCGAACACAGATGTAAGCGTTGGTTTAGCCAGTCTGCCGGGCGAAACTCAGATAGAAGCGTCGTGGAGCTCTGCCACCAGTTTGAGGAAGTAGGTCTGAGACCCCCACAAGGGCAGATCAGTGGACACAGTCTGCCACTTCACATAGTTTGAGTCGTGGCCGGCCTGTCAACACACAGACAACAACACGACGGTGAACACACATACAACATGATGGTAAACTCACGAAGACAACAACGACAGTATAGCTTTATAGCTCCTTCATTTGTGTCTGTCAGCGGTTAAAACAAAAATAGTAAAATAGAAAGAAATTACTCTGTTTAATCCTCACAGGCCTTTGCCTGCAGGTCACAAAGTTGGATGACCAACAGATTTTAAAAGAAAATTAATGAACTAAGGTTCTGACATGATTTATTTTTGTTATTATTTTATTTGTCTAAATTTGGTAAGAAAAAATAGTAGGGATTTACAGCATTGGCCTGTAAAAGAGTTGACCTGTTTTAATCAACACCACACATCAATTCATACCTACGAAACATGGTCCAATCGAAAGGATAGGAGAGAGTACTTTTTGTGGTTCACATAGAGATGTCAGGATAGTCTTCGGAAGCAAACTACAAGTTAAAACAGCGATCGATCTGGCGTGGTTTGCTCCGTCTTTACCATCATACACCTACCATCTTTATCTCTTCCCTTCTTTTCTTTGTATATTACTCTCTAGAAACATCTTTAATCTTCAGCACTAATATGAACTAACCGTGGATGCAGTCAGCGAAAAAAGCCTGACAAAAACTAAAGACTTAGTTTTAGTTTTAGTAGAGGTTTTACGGCGCTCGAAACTGCATAAGGTAATATATGCGCCAGAAGATTAGAGGTGTTACAAGAGAGTAACAAACATAGAAAGAAGAAGGGGAGATAAGGACGATAGACGTTCGAAAGGAAATAAGGAGCAAACCACACCAGAGCACCACCAACCACCCACTAAACTAAAGACTATGACGTCACTCACCAGAATGTTGATGTCACGAAAGATGACGTCGTCCTCGGCATGGAAGTTCGCCACAGTCGTCTCCATCCAAGCGTTGTCCGTGTTGAGAGGCACGTCTGTGTACCCACTGTACACCTGAGAAATAATAACATTAATAATGATTAAAATAATCAGGATAAAAAATAATAATATA